ACTAAATATTTTACTAATTATAGTTAGTATTCTAATTTTAATAATTTTTATACTACTGATTTTAATTTTATCGACTGTTATTATATTAATTCTAAGACTAATGATCATTTATACTCTGATTTAATAATTATAAGCTGTATTATATTTAATTATCTTAAAGAATACATAAATATTATTATTAATAAGACTATTACTAATTGTTCGTTTATTATAAATTATTTAGTTATTAGTTTAACTACTAATAGTTTTAGAATAAGTAACCAGAATATCTTTAAAAATTATTAATATAGTTGTTATAATTATTTAAATAATTAATATATTATTTTTAATTATAGAATTCTTAGTTATTATAGAATTGGTTTTAGAATATCTTACTATAATGATAATTATATTTATTAGTTATATAAATAAGATTCTTTTATTTTTATTATCAATTATTAAGATTTTTTAAAAATTAATTAATAGATTTTGCTTTTATTAGTTTAATTAGAATAATATAAAAATAACTATTAATATAGTTTTATAAATAGAATATTTAGTTATAAAAATCTTTTAAATATATAATATAAATATAGTATATTATATTTTAAATAAATTAATTAATTAGTTTAGTATTTATATTATTAAAATTATAATATATATAATTAAGTTTTAATAAAACAGTAGACAGATTAGAATAAATTTAATTTAAAAGATTTTTGATTTATTTATTTTTAAAAATAGTTTTAATAATTATTAATTTTTTGAGTTCGGATAAACTGAAAATAAATTATATTAAAATAATACTATAGAAATATATTTATAAGTTATTTTTAATAAGTTTATTATTATATTATTTAGTAATATTATAGATATAATTAATCAAAATATTAATTTTATATTAAAATAAAAAAAACTAATTTTTTTAGACTTTATATCTTTAATATATATAATATATATATATATTTGGAGTCTTATTATTAGAAATATTATTATTATTTTAATTATATTAACTACTGCGTGGGTTAAGCAGAAAAAATAATAAAATATTATTATTATTAGTAAAATACTTTTTAAAATAATTTATATAATTAACTAAGCTAATATATTTTATATTTAAGTTAAAAAATTAATTCAAAAAGAATTTAGTTAAGTAAATATAAAAAATAAACTAATATTATTAAATAAACTAGTAAATAAAATACAAACTATTTTTTTAATTAATTAATATTTATAATATAAAAATAAAAGACAGCGAGAAGTAAGACACTTTATATCAATATTTAAAATAGATATATTAATGTTAAAAAACTAAAATATTAAAATAAATAAATAAAAAAATCTATTATAGGTATATTTAACTTATTAATTATATTAAAAGATTTTAGAATATTTAATATCTTAAGATTTAAATATAAAGTATTAGCCAAATTGATTAAATATTAATTTAAAAAAGCGAGAATAATTAAAATCAAAGAAACATTAAATAATAAAATAATAAATAAAAAAATTATAAGTCAAAAACATAATATAAAATAAAAAATAAATAATTTATTTAGAAATTTGGTTGCTGAAAAGATACTAGAAATAATATATCTAAAAGTTTAGAATATTTTAGAAATATTAATATCTTAAAATATAGATATATTAGCTTTTTAGTATTTAGATAATTTAATATTAATATTTATTAACTCGACCGATTCTTTAGATGTATTTTTAGAAAAAGTAATCAAACTAGATATAAAATTTTTTAGTAAAGATATAAACTCAATAAAATAAAAATTTAATATAAATATAAAATTATAAAATATAGAAATAGATATTAAGAATAATATAAAAATATTTATAGATGTTTGAGAATATATATAATCTAATAAATAAAATAATTTAATTTCTATTAAAAAATTTTCAAAATTAAGAATTATAAAGCTAGATGGTATATAGCTTAAAGCTAAAAAAATATTTAATACATTTAAAAAAAATATAAATATTTTCATATATAACTAATCTATTAAAGTCTTAGAAAAAAAATACATATAACTTTTAGTGGAAATAAAAATAAATATAATAAATATAATATAATAGATTTAAAATAAGATATTATTATTAAAATACTTTTAGAAGATATAAATATTATTATTAAAATATTTAACAATTTAATGAGTAAGTTTAAAAGATATTAATATTATTAAATAAATAAATAAATAAATAAATATATAAATAAGCTACTAAATAAATATTTTTAATAATTCTAATCTAATAAATATATTATTTACAATATAATAAAAAGAGATATATAATAAGAAGATAAAAATATAAATAATAAAAAATTATTAATAAAAATAATTAAAATATTGATTAGTATAGAAGTTAAAAATATAAAAAATATAAGATACTAATTTAATTAAAATAATTTATATATAAATTAAGTAAGTAAAAATATAAGATAGAATAAGAATTTAGTAATATAGATAATTTATATTAATAAATATAAGTATAAACAGCAGAATAGTAGAAAATATAATTAAAAAATCTTAAAATATAAAAATAAAAAAATAAAGATATTAACACAAAAAGACCTATAATTAATTAAAAAAATATTAAAATATAAAGAACAGTATATTTTTAGAAACAATTTTTTAGACTATTTATAGTATAAGATATCTTATTAGATATAATAGTACTAATCGATAAGATAAAAATAAAAAGATGAATTATATTAAGTTAGTTAATAAAAAGAAAGTTCGGAAGGTCGAGACCACTAAAAAATATCTGCTAGGCGGAAACAAATAGCAGAATATTAATATCTACAAAATCTACTATATTCAGCTATTTTGAAACTAATAATTAAAATTAAAATTAAATAGTTAATCTAAAAATAAAATATTAAATTTCAATTTAGATTCTAGTTAAAAGTAGTATAATTTATAAAAAACTTCTAACTTTAATTAAGTGTTATAAGAACTTAGTAGTATTTTTTAATATATTAATTAGAATCTAGTTTTTATTAGTCTAATAAATCTACTAAAAAACTATTAAAATATATTTAATAATAAATTTTATTTTTATTAAAATATATTTAATAATAAATTTTATTTTTATTAAAATATATTTAATAATAAATTTTATTTTTATTAAAATATATTTAATAATAAATTTTATTTTTATTAAAATATTATTTATATACTACAGATGCTATAATATTAAAAATATAATTAAATATAAAATTTTTTATATTAATAATATTAATTTTTTAATACTAGTTTATAAATAATATAAACAAAAAATATTTTAAATATAATAAATATATCAACTAGATAACAGTAAGTAATTATTAATATTATATTAAAAAATAATAAAAATAATAGTTTTTTAAAAAATAAATAAAGAAATAAAAATTAAATAAATAATAAAAATAAAAATAAAAAAATGAAAAAAAGAATATAAATAAAAAGATTTAATAAAGAATTAAAATATTAAATTAAATAAAAATATATTAATTTTTTTATTTATATATATATCTTATATTAGATTCTAATTAGATTATTAATAAAATATATGTTTTATTTACTGTTTTAAAATCTTTTATTTTTATAATATATAATTTATTAAATAATTCTTTTATTATTATAATACTAAACTCTACTATTTAGAAAATATTACTAGTAAGAATTCTTAATTAAAAAAAACAATAAAACTATTTATAATTATACTATTATATGAAATAGTCCAGTTTGATAGAAAAATATAATTATTATATAATATTTATATTATTATATTATTTATTTCTTCTTTTTTATATAATAATATATTGTTCTAAAATCTTTTAGAGAGGAAGATTTCTTAAGAATTAGTCTTAAAATTAATAGAAGACTGTTTTTAACTATTTTGCTTGTTTTACCTAACCAGTATGTCTACCGTATTAAGTAGTTTCTAACAAAAAAGATAAAGAAAGTAGTTAAAATATATATATATTTTTTTAATTTGGAATCTAATCTTTTAAGAAATCTTTTTTTCTAAAGAATTCTAGGATAATAGATTCTATACAAAGAAAGAAATAAGTAATATAATAATATAAATACTTATATTAAAAGCTTGTCGAATTAGTATTAATTTAAAAGCAGGCTACTATTATAATAAATATAGACTGCTGTAACAGAAGGTATTATATAACAGAAACTATTATAACTATAATAATATAGCTACCAAAAACCATGTTTTACTATATATAACTATTATTTTCTTTTATTTAAAGCCTAATTACTGTTATATTACTGTTTATTCCTCAAACCTATTGTACAACCATTTAAGAACCATTTAAGCACCCTGCCCTTTCCGACAAGGCTCCAGTGGAGGAAAGTACGCAGACTACTTTCGCGGGACTGTAGTCCCGTGCATTCATTTGCCTTCTTGTCCTTTATCGTCCCAAAACTTATTTTTCCCTCCCGCGGTCACAAGGCATTAGTAGTGTTTTACTTCGCTCGTTATCCGTACTCCCCTGATCAAAACATATAGATAGAAAATGACTCTCCGTCTGAGATTGGCTTGTCAATGTCTATGGGGTCCTACTTTGTATAAGCATATATCTTGGAGCCTTATATGTCTACGAATGCGATTAATATGCTGAACAAGCATTTAACTACCGCTTCCAAACAGACCCGGCTGAAGATTTCCTACGTGCTCAAGCATATTTGCTGCGAGGGTGTCTACTAAGCAATACCTCTATCTTACTCTCCGCGAGGCTCCTCGATACCTTCTACATCTACTCTTAGGCCTATGGATGCAAATGTCTGTGTTTTGAATATAGCAGCATATTCAGCCCTGTCACCCTTCATCAACACGAACACAGGAAGCTGCTGCTGCGGCCCTCAAATAGCTCACGAGATATCATGGGAATTCAGCACTGCATTCTCAAATATTGGTGTGTTTCCTTCGATCTCAACATCGCACTGTACACGATGCAGTAAAGTGTATCAAAAGTCGGCGAGAATTGCAGCAAGTGTCGTTGGGAGATGCGAAGAATGCTTGATCCTTTGGGAGTGGGCGTTGAAGCTGGGGACCAAGAGCAATTGAATACAGGAAACAAGGTAGCCGAGGTTAACTTATTGATGGTCAAGGTTCGTATTCAGATAGATTACTATTTTTAGTCAACCACAAATAAGCTGATCCGGGGTATAGTCGAACCGGGTTATTGGAGCTCATCTCTCCCCAACCGTCTAGTTCAATGTGGGCAGCGTATAGCCTAAGACGCCTCGGTCTTCATACTGACTTTGGTGGCCAGGTAACTGAAGAACCAGAAATTGGCAGTAGCTTCACGGCCACCAAATTGGAGCAATGGATTGCCAAGAATGTAACATGAGGTGACTTCTCAGGCTGAAATGGAATCACAGGTGAAGAACGAACTCGTGGCATCAGTTTGTGTGAAGCAACTGTCTGGTTAGATGTTCATGTACGAGTCTCTTCTGATCGCACTAAAAGTCCGCTTCGGAGCCTCGGTCTCCTGTTTGGCATAGGCAAGCCCGACGGAGTTCTCAATCGTACTCCTCTTGCTCACTGGGACAGCGGTGGCTGATAGTTGAGAGGACGTCTATATGTTGTTGTCAGAGGTATCGTAATCGGGCGAATGTTTGAAACTCACTTGAACAATAAAATATGAGGTTCCGGTTCATGTACTTCGTAATGCTCCCAGCCCAAACTCTGTACAGTGGATTAGAACCACCTTGACCTATCAAATCGTTATAGGCATCATTTTCAACCAGCCATACCTGAGTTATACCAAGCGCACGCCACTCATCTTCCCAGAGCAGTTTTAAAGTTCCTTTTGCGCTATCAAAGTAGTCCGCCGGTATCTTTTTCAGCATGTTCTTAGGAAGTTGGACATGTCGGTATTCGAATTGATCATCGGAGTATCTAGAAACCAGAGGACGGTGAGAACAACCCATACATTCCTGGTCGAATTAATTACCTGGCAGAGTAGTGTATAGAGTCAATGAACTCTTCGAGTCTCTCACGTTCTGATTCTAGTAATAGACGTGGCTTCTTGTTTCTTCTGCTCATATCGATATCCATCTGGAACGACGAAGGGGTTGATGACACAGTACAGACGATGTATTCTAGTTATGAGCAAGATAGCCAGGTTAGTGAGTGGAGAATTCGAATTTCATAAGAAGAAGATAATCTCTGGTTCTGTATGGAAACTCACGGTTCAGGCAACAGTAGACTGCAATAGGCGCAGGAACCGGGACAAACAGTAAGATTTGTACACGGGTACAGTGCGATCAAATTCTCTCCAATGACCCGGTATGCAGTAGAATCGTGATATGCATGCAAGATTTGTGATTATTCTCGGGCCGAGGGAGAGAAAATTGGAAGGGGTCGACTAAGTTAACCAAGTGGCTTTGCAACTCTTTGGGATACTGCTAGTGGGATTATCCAGGTTAATTTCAGTGCCTGAGGTGTCAATTATGTAGGATGGAAATATCTCTACCGATCAAGTCATAAACCCTTGTTCATACACTATGCACTGGTCTTTCTCTATTTAAACAAAAGTTTTTGAGCATATTGGATAGTGCTAAAAGTTCTCTTCTTCCAATTGAGGTTCCGCTAGTTACGAGCCGATTGCGCAAAACCTATGCAGTATCAACAACATGTAAGTAACCAATCTGATAATGAACTGGAAACCTCGCAACAACTAGAGCAGCATGACAAAAACAATATCTCTTGTTTCTCTGTGTATGGTTCCATGTATACATTGAATGCTTGGTTCTATTGTTTAAAGGACACATCTGATCTTGCCGGGAGAGGGATAGGTTCAGTAGCGTGGAGGCTGGACTCGATTTGAGACACCTCTAGTAGTGGGATATCTTGATGTTCTAGGACAGTTTACTACACCTGGTAGTCTGGTTTCTGTTTGAACCGTAGCTGATAGCTTGTGCCATTCTAGCGGAGGCTGTATGATTTTACCACTCTGTTTTTTTTAAAGAAGAAAATGGGTCAAATGGCCTTCTAGAAATAAAAAGTTGCCTGTGATCAGGGTTCTGAGTCCTGCCCTTCTGAAACAAAGCAATCTCTCCGAAGATTACACACTGTCTCACTCAAATATCTTATCCATCGCTACGCTGTATTCTGTAGGACATTGTGATGGTGTATTGCGGACATAAGATAACATTGACAGTTATACCTATGATAAGTCCAGTAAGGGACTGACTGCGAGAAAATCACAGGTAGAAATTGTATTGACTCGGGTATACAAGGCTTTCAATATGTTCAAAAGTATGAGATCTTATGTGTTATTTAGAATGTACTATATAGTTCTATACCAAGCTTCAAGACCTCATCTATAGCAAGTCTGTAATGTGAAATCTAGAGTTCTTTCTCATATACTCTTTGTATCTTCTGTTTCCATTTTGCAGATTACTTATAGGAACAGAATATGTTATCGGTAGCCTTTCACTCAGTACTCCCTTATTACAAAATAGTCAGCAATATAGCGGTTTATAGTTGGTTGATGACACTCCCAGGCAGCTGCTTAGTACTTTTACGGCTGTGAGGATAGAGTGAGGCCTAGGCTTACTAGTATACTAGGCCTGACTGGATAAGTATCCATAGCCTGACAGCTGGCCATACCTGAGATGGCAAGGAAGAGGCTGCGCTGCGTATTGAATATTCTCGGTTCCAAGTTGCCAGTCTTTACAGAGGTAATGGCTAGATGACCTAGCCTATTAGGCAACTATGTAAGTTAACCTAATACCGAAGCACAACGGCGATTACTAAGGGTTAAGTGTTACTAAGATAGTAGGTCATCTCAGCCGAGGGCGCGGGAGGGTTGGAGCCTTGGAGGGAAACGAGAACCAAAGAAAAAGAGGAAAAGTGGGGTTTTTTCCTTCCATTTTTTTTACCTTTCCCTTTGCAGAATAAAAATTTAATCACTCCCACCTCAACACCTGGGGCGTTTTTTATAAGACCTTCTCCCTCCAACAATCTCCCCCAAAATTTTCACCTAGATTCCTCCCACCTCCATATCAGTTTCCCACATCTTCAATATGGCTGACGAGGTTTATGAAGGTGCCATTGGCATCGATCTTGGTATGCTAACTCACCTTGCTATCTTCATCCATCGAATGTGAAATTTCTGTACAACGTGCAGATGTTTTCTGAACATGGCTGACAACAAATTCAGGCACAACCTACTCTTGCGTTGCCAACTATGAAGGCACCAATGTTGAGATCAGTATGTATCTGCCTGTCATTGGACATTAGCCGCCATGCTTAACAAGTCCATTAGTCGCCAACGAGCAGGGTAGCTACACAACTCCCTCATTCGTTTCCTTCACCGACAAGGAACGTCTGATCGGCGAGGCCGCCAAGAACCAGGCTGCCATGAACCCCGAGAACACTATCTTCGATATCAAGTGAGTATTATCAACCCATTGAGGGCTCCTCTGTTACATGCAGAATCTGATGCATCCTAGGCGTCTTATTGGTCGCCGGTCCGAGGACCCTATTGTGAAGAAGGATATCGAGTCGTGGCCTTTCAAGGTTGTCGACCAGGGTGGCAACCCTGCCGTTGAGGTCGAATACCTTGGCGAGAGAAAGACTTTCACCCCTCAGGAAATCTCCTCCATGGTCTTGATGAAGGTAATCGAGTTGTGTCCAAAACCGGTCATCGGGTCGGGTACTGACCTATGAGATAGATGAAGGAAGTTGCCGAGACCAAGCTCGGAAAGAAGGTTGAGAAGGCCGTTATCACGGTTCCTGCCTACTTCAACGACAACCAGCGTCAGGCTACCAAGGATGCCGGTGCTATTGCTGGCCTCAATGTCCTCCGTATCATCAACGAGCCCACTGCTGCTGCTATCGCTTATGGTCTCGGCTCTGGCAAGTCCGAGAAGGAGCGTAATGTCCTCATTTACGATCTGGGTGGTGGTACTTTCGATGTGTCCCTCCTCAACATCCAGGGAGGTGTCTTCACCGTCAAGGCCACCGCTGGAGATACCCACCTTGGTGGACAGGACTTCGACACTAACCTTCTAGACTTCTTCAAGAAGGAGTTCCAGCGCAAGACTGGAAAGGACCTGTCAGGTGACCCTAGAGCCCTCCGTCGCCTGAGAACCGCCTGTGAGCGTGCTAAGCGCACTCTGTCCAACGCCACCCAGACCACAGTTGAGATCGATTCTCTGTTCGATGGCGAGGACTTCAACTCCTCCATCACCCGTGCCCGTTTCGAAGATCTCAACGCCAAGTCCTTCTCGGGCACTCTTGAGCCTGTCCAGCAGGTCCTGAAGGACTCCGGTCTTGAGAAGAGCCAGGTTGACGAGATCGTGCTCGTCGGTGGTTCTACCCGTATCCCACGTATCCAGAAACTTCTCAGCGATTTCTTCGATGGCAAGAAGCTGGAGAAGGTAAACATGCCACTCAATAATTACCTATCGACCCTTAAATTGACATGATTGACAGAGCATTAACCCCGATGAAGCTGTTGCCTACGGTGCTGCCGTGCAAGCTGGAATTCTGTCTGGAAAGGCCACCTCCGCCGAGACGCAGGATCTTCTGCTCCTCGATGTTGTTCCTCTGTCTCTTGGTGTTGCTATGGAGGGTAACATCTTCGCCCCCGTTGTTGCCCGTGGCCAGACTGTCCCTACCATTAAGAAGCGCACCTTCACAACCGTTGTTGATAACCAAACCACCGTCCAGTTCCCCGTTTACCAGGGTGAGCGTACTAACTGTGCTGACAATACCTCATTGGGCGAGTTTACCTTGGCACCCATCCCTCCCATGAGAGCTGGTGAAGCTGCCCTTGAGGTTGTCTTCGAGGTTGATGTCAACGGTATCCTTAAGGTCACTGCTACTGAGAAGTCGTCTGGCCGTACTGCCAATATCACTATCTCTAACGCTGTTGGCAAGCTTTCTACCACTGAAATCGAGCAGATGATTGATGGTAAGAGATTCTGCCGCTCTAATAGTTCCTTGCACTAACCACACGTCTAGATGCTGCCAAGTTCAAGTCTAGCGATGAGGCTTTCACCAAGAAGTTTGAGTCTCGCCAGCAGCTTGAGTCCTACATCTCTCGCGTTGAAGAAATCGTCTCCGACCCCACCATGTCTCTTAAGCTCAAGCGTGGCAACAAGGAGAAGATTGAATCCGCTCTCAGCGATGCCATGGCCCAGCTTGAGATTGAGGATTCCACCCCCGAGGATTTGAAGAAGAAGGAGCTTGCTCTCAAGAGACTCATCACCAAGGCCATGGCTACTCGTTAATCCTTCTTCCAAGCCTCATCTGCTATAATAATCGTCCATCTTGAGACCAGAGAGCCTGCCTTCCGAGTTACCCCCGACCCTTACTTGCTATTTTCAGTGAAGA